CCATGTATAGTAAGGCGTTTTTAGCCGAAAAAAAACGACCATGTATATAGTAAGGCGTTTTTAGCCGAAAAAAACGACCATGTTTAGTCAGGCGTTTTTTGCCGAAAAAAAACGACCATGTTTAGTAAGGCGTTTTTTGCCGAAAAAAACGACCATGTATAGTAAGGCGTTTGCTACCGAAAAAAACGTCCATGTTTAGTAAGGCGTTTTTAACCGAAAAAACGACCATGTATAGTAAGGCGTTTTTTCGCCAAAAAAACGACCATGTATAGTGAGGCGTTTTTAGCCGAAAAAAACGACCATGCATAGTAAGGCATTTTTAACCGAAAAAAACGACCATGTATAGGAAGGCGTTTTGAACTGAAAAAACGACCATGTATAGTCAGGCGTTTTTTACCGAAAAAAACGACCATGTATAGTAAGAAGTTTTCAGCCGAAAAAAACGACCATGTATAGTAAGGCGTTTTTTGCCAAAAAAACGACCATGTATAGTAAGGCGTTTTTAGCCAAAAAAACGACCATGTACAAAGTAAGGCGTTTTTAGCCGAAAAAAACGACCATGTATAGTAAAGCGTTTTTTGCCGAAAAAAACGATCCATGTATAGTAAGGCGTTTTTAGCCGAAAAAAACGACCATGTATAGTAAGACTATACATGTATAGTAAGACTATACATGGTCGTTTTTTTGGCAAAAAATGCCTTACTACACATGGTCGTTTTTTTTCGGGTAAAAACGCCTTCCTATACATGGTCGTTTTTTCGGCTAAAAACGCCTCACTATACATGGTCGTTTTTTCGGCTAAAAACGCCTCACTATACATGGTCGTTTTTTCGGCTAAAAACGCCTCACTATACATGGTCGTTTTTTCGGCTAAAAACGCCTCACTATACATGGTCGTTTTTTCGGCTAAAAACGCCTCACTATACATGGTCGTTTTTTCGGCTAAAAACGCCTCACTATACATGGTCGTTTTTTCGGCTAAAAACGCCTCACTATACATGGTCGTTTTTTCGGCTAAAAACGCCTCACTATACATGGTCGTTTTTTCGGCTAAAAACGCCTCACTATACATGGTCGTTTTTTCGGCTAAAAACGCCTCACTATACATGGTCGTTTTTTCGGCTAAAAACGCCTCACTATACATGGTCGTTTTTTCGGCTAAAAACGCCTCACTATACATGGTCGTTTTTTCGGCTAAAAACGCCTCACTATACATGGTCGTTTTTTCGGCTAAAAACGCCTCACTATACATGGTCGTTTTTTCGGCTAAAAACGCCTCACTATACATGGTCGTTTTTTCGGCTAAAAACGCCTCACTATACATGGTCGTTTTTTCGGCTAAAAACGCCTCACTATACATGGTCGTTTTTTCGGCTAAAAACGCCTCACTATACATGGTCGTTTTTTCGGCTAAAAACGCCTCACTATACATGGTCGTTTTTTCGGCTAAAAACGCCTCACTATACATGGTCGTTTTTTCGGCTAAAAACGCCTCACTATACATGGTCGTTTTTTCGGCTAAAAACGCCTCACTATACATGGTCGTTTTTTCGGCTAAAAACGCCTCACTATACATGGTCGTTTTTTCGGCTAAAAACGCCTCACTATACATGGTCGTTTTTTCGGCTAAAAACGCCTCACTATACATGGTCGTTTTTTCGGCTAAAAACGCCTCACTATACATGGTCGTTTTTTCGGCTAAAAACGCCTCACTATACATGGTCGTTTTTTCGGCTAAAAACGCCTCACTATACATGGTCGTTTTTTCGGCTAAAAACGCCTCACTATACATGGTCGTTTTTTCGGCTAAAAACGCCTCACTATACATGGTCGTTTTTTCGGCTAAAAACGCCTCACTATACATGGTCGTTTTTTCGGCTAAAAACGCCTCACTATACATGGTCGTTTTTTCGGCTAAAAACGCCTCACTATACATGGTCGTTTTTTCGGCTAAAAACGCCTCACTATACATGGTCGTTTTTTCGGCTAAAAACGCCTCACTATACATGGTCGTTTTTTCGGCTAAAAACGCCTCACTATACATGGTCGTTTTTTCGGCTAAAAACGCCTCACTATACATGGTCGTTTTTTCGGCTAAAAACGCCTCACTATACATGGTCGTTTTTTCGGCTAAAAACGCCTCACTATACATGGTCGTTTTTTCGGCTAAAAACGCCTCACTATACATGGTCGTTTTTTCGGCTAAAAACGCCTCACTATACATGGTCGTTTTTTCGGCTAAAAACGCCTCACTATACATGGTCGTTTTTTCGGCTAAAAACGCCTCACTATACATGGTCGTTTTTTCGGCTAAAAACGCCTCACTATACATGGTCGTTTTTTCGGCTAAAAACGCCTCACTATACATGGTCGTTTTTTCGGCTAAAAACGCCTCACTATACATGGTCGTTTTTTCGGTTAAAAATGCCTTACTATATATGGTCGTTTTTTTCGGCGAAAAACGCCTCACTAAACATGGTCGTTTTTTTCCGCTGAAAACGCCTTTCTATACATGGTCGTTTTTTCGGCTAAAAACGCCTTACTAAACATGGTCGTTTTTTTCGGGAGCAAACGCCTTACTATACATGGTCGTTTTTTCGGCTAAAAACGCCTTACTAAACATGGTCGTTTTTTTCGGGAGCAAACGCCTTACTATACATGGTCGTTTTTTCGGCTAAAAACGCCTTACTAAACATGGTCGTTTTTTTCGGGAGCAAACGCCTTACTATACATGGTCGTTTTTTCGGCTAAAAACGCCTTACTAAACATGGTCGTTTTTTTCGGGAGCAAACGCCTTACTATACATGGTCGTTTTTTCGGCTAAAAACGCCTTACTAAACATGGTCGTTTTTTTCGGGAGCAAACGCCTTACTATACATGGTCGTTTTTTCGGCTAAAAACGCCTTACTAAACATGGTCGTTTTTTTCGGGAGCAAACGCCTTACTATACATGGTCGTTTTTTCGGCTAAAAACGCCTTACTAAACATGGTCGTTTTTTTCGGGAGCAAACGCCTTACTATACATGGTCGTTTTTTCGGCTAAAAACGCCTTACTAAACATGGTCGTTTTTTTCGGGAGCAAACGCCTTACTATACATGGTCGTTTTTTCGGCTAAAAACGCCTTAGTATACATGGTCGTTTTTTCAGCAAAAAAACGCCTTACAATACATGGTCGTTTTTTTCGGCTTAAAACACCTATTTATATACATGATCGTTTTTTCGGCTAAAAACGCCTTACAAAACATGGTAATTTTTTTTGTTAAAAAGCCTGACTGTTCATGGTCGTTTTTTTCTGTGAAAAATGCCTTCCTGTACATGGTCTAGTGGGACACTTGCCTGACTTGTGTGCAGGAAGCGTGGGATCGATTCCCACTCGGTGACGGCGTGAATGGCTTGTCTGTCTCTGTGCCCTGCGACGGACTCCAACCACTTCAGGTTGTAACCCGCCTTCTGCCTGAAATCCGCTGGGGTAGGCTCCAGCACCTCCGTGACCCCGGTACAACGATAAGTGGATGGATGGATGGATGAGCTCCAAAATTTTGGCTCCAGAGGCTATACTCACTGTTGGTTCAGTTGGCGGCCTCCCATTGCCACAAATGGAAAATGATGGTGAGTTTCTCACCTGTTTCACACTCTACACTTGGCCAATTTCCCTCCCCCGCCAAAAAGAAAAAAAGGAGCCATGTATACTTTCAGAGCCATGTATACTTTTATGGCAAGTACAAGATGGGAAATCATGAAGCTTGTCAACTTTAGCACGCACACAAAACGAAAAAGCTGCGTATAAAAGTAAACAAAAAATGTGTAACACAAACAGCATGTACAAATTATGCATGACAGTTTGTTGACTTGTACTAGTATAGTAAATCCTTCCCATCAGCCTGTGTGTGTGTGTGTCGGAACTGGTCGACTCCTGAAATGACCAGAAGGTGGCAGCGCAGTCCAACTTTTCCTCCTCGCAGTCGTTCTCGTCAGTGATGCTTGCATGTCATCAACTAACTGCATAGTCGGCAGGTTTGGCTTTTGGGAGAAATTCCTTGAAAGGCGGACTTCAGTCTTTTTTTCTAACAAAGTGCAATTTTGACAACCTTTCCAAAGATGCCCACTTTCTGTCACTCTTCCAATCTCTGTCGCAATCTGTTGATGACCTTCTTGCGGTTCCCCTTAGAGCAGCTGGTAAGCGTCCAGGAAGTCTGCTGAGAAGACGCTCTCGGCCGCCGACACGCTCAGATCCAGCCAGTCCGTGCCATGGAGGTCGGACTCTGCGTCCATGCTGTCATCCAGTCCCATCTCCATGGCGATCAGGGGTAGAGGAAGCTCCTCGGCGGGCATGTGTGCCACCTGGACGCAGGGCGGAGGGCGCGACAGGACGGTGTTGACGGGCAGGAGGGTGACGCTGGGCGTGACGGGCAGTCGCTTGTTGGCGTCAGGAGGGTCGGGTTTGAGGAAGGGAGACATCTCTGTGTGGAGAGTGTGAAGAAACAGGTGGTGATTTGAAACGCTGTCCATTTTTTTCAAATTTTGATTAAATTATGGATGAAACATGGTTTTCGAGTGGTGTTGTGTTACTGTTTGTATGCCACGGTATGCAATAGCAATAGAAGGCCAGTCCAAAAATGATTGAATAAGCAGCGCCAGTAAGCATTTTCCAGACAACTGAAATTGTTCTGGCATGAATTTGTATCAGTCGCGTTTGGTCGGGTTTGTGGTAAGACTAACATGCACGTGTTTGGGACGAGATCGATTATAAGAAAGGGTTCACTCTTACCACCGCTTTCGATGAGGATGTCAAACAGGTCGTCCATCTGCTGGCTGGCTGCACACAAACCCTGGAGAAAACATTTACGTGATATTTTCAGTGTCTGGAAACTGCGGGCATACCCTATTATCGTATTGCATTTTAGAAATGCGATCCAAATGTTTTTGTCACCTGAATAGCAGGCAGCATGCGTGCGTGTTTCACGGCGTCTTCATAGCGAGGAGGCTCTCTGAGGAATTTACATTTTAGCAGCGGCGGCGGCGTGAAGGCCGGACTGTGGCCGCGATGGACAGGCTAGTTGGGAAACAACCAAGAAGAATGATCTGCACGTGTGCTTGACTATGTCAAATAGCAAAAATGACAGAATGCATGCTTTACCTCACTCACGGGCGCTTTCGTGACGCCTGATGGGAATGGGTCATGGACACTTTGCGCTGTCCTCTGCCCCGTCCACGTCTGCACACAAAAAGGAAAGAAATCAAGATGGCTGCAGATTTGTCAATCTTATGCTGATTTTCCCATGTGACCCCCCCCCCCCCACCTTGCTCAGAGGTTCTGCGTTGTCCACTTTTGCGGCAGGAGGCGCCGAGGGGCTCGTCTCCGCCTCCTCCTGTTTGATGTCCACGCGCTCGTCCCCGAGGGGCGACGGAGGACCGAGGCCGGGCGGAGGCGACTCTCCCAGCTGCTGACTTCTCTTCTCCACCTCCAGCTGCAGCTTGAGCTCCTCCACCAACCTCTGCTCATGCTCGAGTCGCCTCTTCAGCTCCTCGATCTGAAGCTCCTTCTCGTGGAGACGTCGGTCCTTCTCGTGGAACCCGGTACGGCCAGGAGGGGGCGCCGCGGGACTGTCCGTTCTTCCGTTGTCCTCCAAGCCAGCGCCGGACACTTTGGGGGACAATGCTGGGGTGTTTTGGGGCACTTTTGTCTCCAGGCTAACGACAGTTTCGTGATACAACTTCAGCCGCTCGATCAGATCCATCTTGGTTCCGGAGACGGGAAGCGAGCGCAGTTTGAGTTCGACTTTCAGCTCAGCTACCTGGAAGTGCGTGCACACACACACACAAAACACCACATCGCATCGCTGTCAGTTTTTTTCATTTGGGGCAAGTCAAGTACTCAACCTCATTGGACCAGCAGATGGCACTGTGCTGAATGGGCGTTGGGGCTTTTGCCCCAAGAATTCTGCCTAGCGACAATGCACTGCACAAGAAAATACAAACAATTCTGTGGATGCATTTATTGGTATCTTGTAGGTATATATGACAATAAATCCTGCAATTTTTTTTTTTATTTTGGGGGTCGGCGGATTACCTTCATCTCGTCCACATTAGCCGGTAACTGATCTGGCTTGCAGTTTTCGTTCGAGAACTCGGCAGAGCTATTGGTTTGGAAATTGCCTGTTGACCTGATGGAATGAAAAAGGAAAGGGAAAGGGAGTCAAGAGAGTCATTCTTCAATTTTCACCGCGGCGGGGAAAAACGAGGGTGGTAGAAGCAAAGCACTGTGTAAGAAACACGGAAGATCATAGCCATACTTGAGCGCCACCCACTGGTGGCCGAAATGCACCAAGAAAAGGACCATTTTTGTTAATCTGCATTCCTCTTTGCACAGTTTTTGCAAAATGTGTTGTATGATTTTGTTTTGTAATAAATCTTACAGTGGCTGCACAAACATGGGAAAAAAAACATACATGAAACACATGTTTTATTCTTGGATGGGCACAAATTATTCTGCCCCACAAAGTCTGCCTAGCAACAAAGAGCTCCGCAAATGATACAATAGATAAAGTAGAAGAACGACTTCCGTACTTGACCGCTGGCTGCTGGTGGCCAAAACGCTGCTGGCTAAGGATCTGCAGCTGCAGAAAGTGCTGCTGCTGCTGCAGGATGCGCACGTAAGCGGCATCCACGTGCGCCGCCGCGGCCGCCGGCGAGGGCTTCAGTTCCTGCTTCTGGTGGTCCGGGGGAACGTACTGATGATACTTGAGCTTGCGTATCCTCGGCTTGGCCTCTCGGCTCTTTTTGCTGCGGCTTTTCTCGCCCGCCGGCTTTGGCGAGCTCTGCTGCGGAGTCGAACACACACACACGCACGCACACACAGGACAGCATATGTGAAAGCAGACATTTGGTTGAATGCCACTGGAGAGACAGTTGATGAGAATGTCTGGATGAAGAAAGAGGAAGTGGAAATGTGACCCTCATCGTTTTAACACCTGCAGGAAGCGAATGGCGGGACTTACTCTATGTTTGAAAGGCCACCGTTTTGTTTTGTTTTTTTGTTTGTTTTTAAACGCCGACTTTATTTGGCTGAAAGGAAGAAAAGCATGCGAACTGCACTTCAGATTTTGGATTTGAAGCCATAACCTAAAAACGGTGACGCAGACCTGGCAACCACTCCGCCTACCACGCCGCCAGATTGGTATTTGCGGAATGTATTTATTTGAGTGTGAAAAGGCGAGGTTCACCTTTGTGAGCGTAGCAGTGGTTGGCTGAGATGAAGCTGCGGGTTGCTCGCTGGTGGAGGATAAATCGGATGAGGAGTTAGACGGCGAGGGCTGCTGAGTGAAGAAGAGCAACAACGTTAACGGTGGGGACACTATGACTTATTATTTTTATTTATTTTTTAATGTTCGTTTTTAGTTTCAAGCCCAAAGAAAAAAAACAACTCGGTTTGGGTTCAGACCGACAGACCATGAACGGCATCGGCGAATATTCGTGATTAGTAGTTAAGGTCACCCAACATGACTTTCGATGCATCACATGAATCCTACACTTTGTAATCAACGGTTTTCATCGACAGTGACGGCATCTGACCTCACCCGCACGGAGGAGCCGGAACAGGAAAGAGACGTGGCCTCGGTCGGTGTGGGCGAGACCGAGTCGGTGCTCGGAGATGTTTGGCAACAAGTGCGCGGCGATAAAGGGTCATTGTTGTCCTCGTTGAAAGTGTACACATCGATTGCCTCGCTGGGGTCCGGACTATCACCTGGAGGACAAACATATTCAAATTGCTATCATAACTAGTCCAGATTCGGCTTTCTATGACACGTCATATGTCGTTATTTTATTTATTTGATTTTTTTCGAGGCACATTTTTTGTTTTATACTGAAAAGAGAGAGCTTCTTATTCTTGGGCTTGCCTCTTCAATAACGTGAATTTGTTTTGGTTGCTTTCCTCAGATTGTGAACTCCCTCGAGGTTAGGAAAACAAAAAAAATAACCAATAAAGATAAGAAATACAGAAGGAATGTGTGTCGTGCATCTATTTTTGTACGACTGCAACATGGGGTCAGCGCAGTTTAAAAACCGTTGCTGTCCAATGACATCATGCGTGAAAAAATGTCTTTTTATTTGACATCGTGTTTACGTTGCTTGTAGCCGGACTATTATACTTAAGAATTTCGACCAATTTCCACAAACTGGTGATGTCTTGATTTTAAGGTGCTCGATATTTGTGTCAAAATATGTTTAAAAGGAGCTGCAAAGCAGACCTCCATTGGCAGACGATGCCAAGTTGGGCAGAGTGATCACAGATCACCGCAGCGAAGTCGGAATCTTGTCGAGCGCCTTCCACCACAATCATTCGTGTCCACGTGTGAGAAAAATGAGCATCTACCGTCGTGGTCCTTGTTGACACCACCGTCCGCGGGCAGGATGTTCTTCTCCACCAGCTCCATGGGTCCAGGCCTGTGAGCAATCTTCTGGTTGAGATCGTCGGCCAGCCGGGCCCTCTTCAGCTTCAGCTGAGCGGCTTGCACGGAGGCGTGGGCTTTGCTCTCTGCGGAAGAAAGTCGGCGTCAGCCTCTTTTACCATCGCGCAGGAACCGAGAGAGCAGGCTTTTAAAAGTACCTTGCAGGATGTGCATGCGGACCAGCTCGGAGCGAGCGGGTCGGCGGCAAAGTTTGTGCTTCAGTATGTTCCCCGTCTGATAAGAGAAAAAAAAAAACAATAAGAAAATGGGTGGTTAGATGAATGACAAATGGATTGATTAGCTGCAGATATACAAAGTTTTTTTTTTTTTACCCTTGCCCTGTCCAGACTGCGAATCCGCTCATGGAGGGCAGCAGGGGCTTTCAGAGCTGAAAGAAACGGAATCGTTAAAATGGCTTTTTAAATTACCGTATTTTCTGCACTATAAGGCGCACCTAAAAGCATTCAATTTTCTCAAAAGCCGACCGACAGTGTGCCTTGTAATCCGATGCGCCTTATACATGGATCAATATTCTGATTTCTTGGACGTAGTATTTTAAATGTCCTGTAAAGCACTTTGGTACAGCTGCAGCGGTTGTGAAGGCTCAAAATAAAGAAAGCTTTAGTGTATTGTATTGTATTTCCTTTAGTGTGGCTCCATCTTGTGGATGCATAATGCAACCGCAGCCACTATTGTGGCCTCTATTTGATGCGCCTCATAATGCGGTGCACCCTATACAGGAAAACAGTTTTAAAATAGACCATTCACTGAAGGTGCGCCTTATAGTGCGGAAAATACGGTACCTGTATAGAAAAAGTCTCCGGAGTGCCAGTCCACCCATCGTGTGGAAAATGAATAATCAAAGTTTATGTCTTAAAATGTGAGCGAGGTGCTTGGCAAAATTGACATCACTGTTTTAAAAAGTGAAAAATAAAAATGTCACAATGTCTCTTTTCCTCTTCTTTCTTCACGTCCAAATCAACATTTATGTCACACTGCCCGGTTGGTGTTCACTGAGCACGCAGTCACCTCCGCTATGACCAACACGGTTTGATTTAATGGGCACATGAGGCAGGAGGAAACCAAAACAGTCATGACAAAGCCCGGCCGCATACCTACAGGACCAAGAGGACGGATAGGCGCTTACTGGAGACTGGCCTGGGGGAGGGAGGTTTTGTTTGAGTCCAAAGGGGTGAGTGACCTCCAGCAAAGGCCCAGTCTGTGACTCATGAAGCTATGCGGAGCCAGGGAGGAGCTCACTCAGTGGGGGACTTGTACTTCTCCACAGAGAGAGCAAAAAATAAAAATAAAACGACTTTTATCAGCATGATTCTCTCAGAGACGACAATGGTCGTAAAATGAAAAATAATGTGATGCTTTTTTTTCTCACAATTTAAAACTGTTCTCAGTTGTCTTAAAATGAGTGCGTTAAAACAACCCATACTGATAATATTGGTAGTCGGTTAAAATGGTGTCGATACTCCACATCGATACCAAAAGGATGGCAAAATGAGTTGGAACTTGGCAAGGTAGATTCCAAGTTGCGGGGCAAAAGAGGCTCAAAAAGGTCAAACTACCAGCACTTTCATCAATTGAAAGTATCTCTTTTATAAAAGAAACATTTTGTAAAAGGTAGTCAACAAAGAAGTCGGGAATGAACTCAAAATATAGCAAAAACAATCGCTCATTTGCGAGCCATTTTCATACACATTCATGCGGGGGATACCGAATGCGCGGGTATCGATATGAAGCTGACGGCTGCCTTTTGCTAACAGCGCACTCATGTTTATAATTCTGTCATCAACGGCTAAAATTAGGCCAGGAATCTGCAGGGTAACGATCTCAATAAGCAACAAGTTATTGCTATGCCATAGTGGATGACAACAACAGGCCTCAGATTGGTTAATTTCGTTTTGTTTTTTTTTAATCGTTTCTTAGCGTCGCCATAGCCACGAGTATGTCAGTATGTGCTGCCCCCTGCTGTTTTGGAATGGGACTTTTAAAGCTCAGAAATACGCCGGGAACTATTCATGCCTTCTCGTGCCGCAGCCCGCGGGATTACGTATTCGTACGCCCCCTGTGATCGACGAGTTGACCGTGCGTCGTTTCCCAACCTCAAAATTTCAAGGGACGGTCGTCAAGCGAGGACTTCTGTCGTATTATGAGGTGAAGCGTGAGGTGCGTACTCACGGGGCGCGACGCCTCGCTCCGCGAGTTGTTCTCGGCTTCGTCTGTGCTGCAGGAAGAGCTGAAGAGCTGCGAGAGTGCAGACACAGAAGCCAAGTTGAATTATTTGAATTTGAATTAAAAAGGCATCAAGGCAGCCTGCACGGGCGTCAAGATGCGAACGCCTACGTGAGTTTTTTTTAGTTTTTTTGTGCCCGATGTCATATTTTGTAATCAACCGAAGTTGAAAGAAGTATAATTCACTTCCTGTGCTCGGCCATAAGAGAAGTGGGGGCAGAAACCGCACGTGGGACTTGAGCGGCGATGGCGCTGAACAAGCCACGTTTGGCCAAAGTAAACAGTGAATAGAAGAGAATTCAAACTCCGCTATAAGCTTGTTAATGAGTAAAGCCGCAGTCAGACGGGACACCAACGAGAGCCACCGTGACTCATGTCTGCTCCAGAAGTTATTGGTGTGTCACTTTTCGACGGACTCATCAGGAAATGTGTTTACAAAAGTATTGGGACACCCGAACTGTTTCTACTTTGCCGGAAAAAGTTTCTACAAAGGTGTCAACAATGCAAATTTCATTGTCATTTTTCGACTCTAAACTCATATTAGCCCTTGACTGATTGTGTAATTTATGGAGAGGTGTGTCTCCATGCGGCAGCACGAGTGATGGTCTTAGCTTGAATGGCGCCCTTTGTGAGCCCCCCCACCCACTTTGCCTTTACATCTGTTTTAAACGTCAAAACGCTCATCTCGGTCATGTGATACGGCAAGAAGAAAAGTAAGCTTGCAAGGAAGCAAAAATTAGCACACAAAAAATATATCGGTTCTGGGAAAGCTTTTTAAAAAGGAGTTAAATGGTTAGACAGACACAGCTCTCGATAAAAACAGAGCCAATACCAGCACCAATTTTAAAATTCGGATTTATCGATACAGATGATTTGTGGTGTATATGAGCCAAAAGAAGCACTGGATTAATTTGCTTCCATTTCCTCACATGGGAACTTGGTGAAGTGGATTTTCCTGTCCAGACGGTGACCAAAACTAGATTACGGATTTGAGTAATGCATTTCTGTAAATTGTCTTCTATTACGTACCCCGAAATGGGATTAGCTTGTTAAAAAGAAACAAGCGCGTTACTCAAACTAATGACACCAAATTCATTCAGTTGAATGGAGAGGTGGATTTTTAATCCACTCTTTTTATTTGTTTCTATGCTTGTCCATCAAACTCTTATTTTAGGTGAAACCGGTTCACGGCACATCAAAACATTGGAGGGCCGCTCCTCTCATTACTTTCAGCCAGTGTGGGCATGAAAGAGGAAGTTGATGGCGATGGTGGATGATGCCCGGATGGTCACCTATGTAATGTTGTGACTTTTGCTTAGCTACATGTACAGAGCGGCTCACAGGAAGCAAATATTCCCCATTCACACACACTGACACACTATACACACATACACACAAGGCAGACCTGCACAGCTCTCCCGGGAAATGCGTTGAACAGGGCCCTCTGACTCAAGCAAGCAAAAATAAACGGGGCAGCTGTGAGAACAAGGCCTGGGAACCGTGACATGTCGGGTGTAGTTTGAGGGGGCGGTGGGGTTGCGGAATTAGACGACGCGATTAACTCTGGAAGGTTGCAAAGAGGGGTCCCGGAGATAAAGCAGATGAAAGAACCCGAAAAAGGTGTCGCCACTTTCTTATTAAGAGACCCCGATAAGCAGATGTGGAGATTTGGAAAATCGTCCTTTAAGTGTTTATAGTCACCGTGACCTGGAAAGAATGCCGCGAGCAATAAAATATGCAAGCGCCTATCAATAAACATTTAATATAAGGGGACGCAATCCGCGCCCTGGGGTGCTCCTGACAGTTTGCGCTGAACCTTGGCTAACCTCCCCGTCATGTCAAGCAGCTCGGAGCATAACCAGAGGTTGCCCGTGCGACGTCATCTCCAATCTTTGGGCCACGTCGTCCCACGGCAAAGCTCCTCGTCTGATTCCCATTTGATTTGATTCTTTGAGAAACAGAACGCATACGTTTGCTGTGGATTCAAAGATGATTGCGCTTGAGAAAGGGAATGCCGGTGATTTATGTTGACTTTATCGGTTATAAATATCCAAAGATGGCTTGAGATGCACTCTTGATTGGAGCAAAGATCTCCTTGTTCGCGTCGTATCGAGTCAGTTTGTGTGATCACAAACTCGCGAGAGCGGCAGCGCTTTCGGACACATTTTTGTACACTTGAACGGTAATACATCGATTTGACGTCAAGCTGCGTTTTTTTTGGCACCCCGAATTGGGGGAACATTTTCGACCAATTATATTTAATTTCGGCAGCATGGTGCAATAGCGGTTTGAACGTCTGCCTCACAGTCCAGAGCGGCGGTTATCACACATTTACACCAAAGTACCACCTTGAAAAAATACTTAGCTCTCCAAGCGCAACCTCAAAAAACACTCCGCTCTCCAAGTGTCACCATCATGACCAAAACAAAAACACAGGAGAGCAGTAGGCCTAACTGTTCATCAAAAGCGAGACGGAGGATCTTGTTCGAGGAACCCATGACATCATTATGCGCAGTTTCAATATTATTTGAACATAGTACAAGTCATACAATTGTACTGTAGCCCTTCGCCTTATGATTCAAAATAAATGGCCTTGCACGTATAGTTTACACAAATTTATTGTATAAAAGTTGAAAGACGCACTGCTGTATAAGATAAAAGTTAAATACAACTGAACTGTATGAAGCCAGTGATTCTTTCATGTGCCACTACTTTTGGGGGGGGGGGAAAAAAAATGATTTGCTCAAATCCTGTGTGGAGTTGGCATCGGGGGCCAGGGGGTTGATCGGGCTTCCTGCCACACTTCAAAAACATGCATCTTCGGAAATTCTCCATAGGGGTGATTACCAGTGTAAATAGTTACTCGTCTATATCGGACCTGCGAGTCCAGGGTGTACTCTGCCTCTTGCTCAAAATTCAACTGGGATAGGCTCCATCTCACCCATGACCCGAATGAGGACAAGCATTACAGAAAACGGATGGATATTCACATCCAATTGATAATTTAACACCAAATCTTCAAAGAAATGGATTGGAAACCGAATTCTGCCAAGAATTACAAAGGGGGTGAAATGTGGCGTCATGTGAGATTAGGCCACACACCGGCGAGTGTAATCAAAGGATTACGGGACTTTAGGGAGGAATACGCCGCAATATGAGGCTTGATAAGGATTTGAGGTTATAATGGGTAAACTTCTTTTTACACTTGTGTGCCAGTTCAGAAACGATCTGCAACTTACAGTTCACTTTTCTCCAATAGTTAGTTCAGTTACTACAGTTACTAGATGTCAAAGCAAAGACATCCGAGCGAGCAACAAGTTAGTCGCAGGACGTACCCGATTTGAATTTGCCCGTGCAGATCGAGGGGGTCTCCACATGGAGGCAGGCCATCATGGAGGGTGCTGTGCTGGGGGGCCACCTCTGGCGTCCCATGGAGCGACGACGGCGGCGGCTGTCCGGGATAGACGAGACTCAGCTCTGAGCCGACGACAGCTGGGGCTGGCGGCGACCCTCACCCCCTCCTCCTCTTCTGTGGCTCAGCTGACAAAGTGTGTGTTCACAGTGCATGTGTGTGTGTGTGTGTGTGTGTGTGTGTGTGTGTGTTAAGATCAGTAGGAGGGATCGGCGCTGCTCGTGTTAACCCTCTCAAGGCTGCTTTGCAAGACTAGGATATAAACATGGGTCATGTTGAACGCGGCTTTGGCTGGTCACAAGGCGTTTTGGGCTTTTTAACACAAAAATATAAAATGAAAAGACTCACAACGAACATGGAGCAGAATTTTGGGTTACAATATTTGGGGATATTTCATTATTGTTAGTTTTTATTTCAGGTTGACATTTTTTTAAAATAAATTCTATTCATTATAATTGATTGTTAGAGTGTTTTTTTTTGGTTTATTTTTTTAATTATTCATTTTATTTGGATATTTATTAGTTTTAGTTTTTTTTTTAATGTATTTGTCGAGCGCAAGATTAAAAAAAAAAAGTCACTACTGTGCAAAACAGTAAACTACAATTCCCAAATAACTGTTTGACCTTCTTTTCTTTAAAATAATACAGAAAGAAAATAATTTAAAATCCTCAATAAAAACATTCCAAGAGCTCTATAGTTAGTTTTATAAATGTAAAATATAGTTTTACATGGTTTTAGTTATCATATTTTTAGTTATCATATTTTTAATCCCTCTCACTCTCTTTTTTTCTTTAGATTTCGTTTATTTATATATATCTATATCTATCTATCTATCTATCTTTCTATATATATATATTTTTTTAATTCAGTTTGAGTTGTTTCATTAGTTTTCATGAATTAATAATAATCTCGGAGCAGAGGCTCAAACGTTAAAAAGTCAATCATTTTAGCGACATTTATGAACATAATCCCAAAATGAATTAAATACCACTGTACTGTCGCAATTGCAGACACTTCTCCTGAGAAGTCTTGTTTTCTCTTCATGGGAGTCCCAAATCACAAAAGACACGAGTAAACAACACAGAGCCCAAAGGGGGACACAGATGCTTATCTTCCAACTTGTTCTCGTTAATTTATGTGGCCGCTCAACATGTTTTATGATCGGCTTCTTTCCCCTCTTCTGCTATTTAACTGCTGTTGCAACTCGCAACAGGGAAGTCAACCCAAACGGGTCAGTGTGAGAGTGGTATGGTAATGATGGTGCTAAACAGGAAGTGGGGTTAAAAAAAAAAAAAACACTAATTGAGGTGAGTTCCTCTAATCTGAAAGGAACCAAGAAGGCTCCAAAGCCACTTTCTTACTGCCTGCACTAAAGATTGCATTTTCCCACATCGCTGTTCCGTGTGAAAGGTACATCGAACCATTTCGGAGCGCAATCGTCGGGGTGCAATAAAGCCCATGTTCCCTGGCTTTGAGCGACAGGTTCAAACTTTTTCCAGTTGAGGAGGATGCGGTAGAAATGACGGAGGAGTGTGACACAAGTCGAGTGATGCTTTTCATCGCCTGGATGTATATTAAATCAAATTATGATAAATGTTGCGTCACTTCTCTGATCGTCCGTCCATTTTCTAATCTGCTTATCCTCACGAAGGTCACGGGCGTGCTGGAGCCTTTCCCAGCTGTCTTCGGGCAATCGGTGCGATGGGGCGGACAGAGACGAAAGCGCTTCACAAGGACGAGGACGGACGGTGACAGAGGACAATTATTATATGGATAACGATGGAGGAACGATGACGGATGGACACCCGTTTAAATTTAGAAATTGAACCTGGTGAGTCGTCGTCCTGTGACGGGTGCGAATGGGAAAACACATTCTGGGCCAGGGCCGATCGCCGACGTCATGAGAAATGACGTCGGCTTTCAGGAAACGTGCGCGTCACGCAGCGGGACAGCCGGCCAAGCCAACGGGATTAGAGGAAGTCTGAGCGGTCCCCATTGACATGAAATAATGGTTAACAACCCGAGCGCTGCGGGGGGGCATTAGGAATGTGGAAAAAAAACACGTCCAATTAATCAGCACAGGGAACAAAACTCTGACTGTTACCTGTAGAGAATTTGATACGCAGTGGTACCTCTACTTACGAACGTCTCTTCATACGAAATGTTCAAGTTACGAAACGCCTCAACAGGAAACTATTGCCTCTTGTTACAAAAGAAATTTCAAGATACGAAAGGTAAAAATACAGTCTGGGTTGGTACTCAAAGCTCTGAGTTTCCTGAACGCAACATATTTCTCGCTGCTCTGCCATTGGCTACTACCAAGCAGCATCCTGGCATCCCATTGGCTAACAGGGACCTCGACCGTACGTGTCTATGTGTGTAGACAGATAAATATAGAGATGATTGTATATGCAGCATCCTTGTTATTCACCCCTCGGGCCATGAGGCGTTCCGATAGTTTTACGTGAAAGTGTTCACCAGTCAGGCGATTGCTCACTATGCTGATGTTTGCCATGGACATTTTCGAAGGATTGTTAAAAGCTGACAAAAGCAAACGTCCTTGGATCAGTTCTTTGCAAAACGCCAGGCAAAAACCACTTCTGAGAGAGAACATGAACTAAAGAGGGCAAAAACCGATGAGGACGCAGTTAAAAGTTAAATGACCATCATTTTTAGCCTTAACGCTATTCTTTGTTTTTTACATAATGCACAATTCTTATGTATTGTGCAATAATGTAATTGTAACATGTATGTTAAATATTTTTATGCATTTTTATGCTTTATAAAACATTTATATCTGAATTTTGGGGGGGCTTGGAACGGATTAGGGCATTTACATGGAAAACGCGCCTCTTCTTCTAAAATTTTCAAGTTCAGAAATTTCTTCCAGAACAAATTCTTTTCGTAAGTAGAGGTACCACTGTATATAGAAATACAATGGCATTTCTTGCTTGAATTAAGTTTGTAGCTCACTAAATACCCAACCAATAAACCGAGAGAACAAAGCACTGCGATCATGGTGACGTGACAGAATTTGAATCGATGACTGCAACAAGTCATTGTGGATCTTTTGATGATTACAACACTCATTGTTGGATGATTGCCTCCATCTGCAGCTCCACAGGCCAGCTGTTTTTCGCTAAGGCGCAACTTTGCTGCAGTGAAAGCACTCGCAGATGTGCAACGGTGCTAATGGTCTGCGGTTTCACAACAAACAAAGATATTTAAAAAGCTGCCTTAACGAGTCTTCTGTCTAATCGAGTCCAAACATGACATCAGCTATGAGGAGTTGAGCTTCACTCACACAGCCAACTGTTGTGAGGATGAATATTCTTGAAATCATAACATCTGGGTGGCAATTTAAAAAAATTTGATAAAAAAAAAATCTAAGTATGGTTCTCTCCCAGTTTTTCACAAATTCACGTTTCCATTTTTATATTCTTTAGAAGCTATCCAATTATTCCTTGAAAAGGTCAATATTTTGTGTTATATGCTCTAAGATGCCACCAGATGGCGTCGAATCCCAGGCTAATAGGAAAGAAGTCATTGGTGTCAAGGAAGTATTTTAAAATGACGCATCCAGCTAGATTCAGAGACAAACGTCTTTGCATGCCAGGGAGGAGTTAAGTTTCAACCTGGTTTGTTAGAGTCTTCAAAATAATCGGTAGAAAATTCATTTTTAATCTTGCAAGATGTACAGGAAAGGCCGGAGTTAGTTCATGGAGTATTCACGGTTTGAAAAGCAACTGTAAAATGTAAAATAATTGTATGTTCTGATGACGAGGCGGCTCGATGTTTCGGTTGACGTGCGTCTTGTTTTGATACAAACGGCTGCTGTGTTCGTGGGAAGACCTCGCGCGCTGCGGTCTCTTATCCGCAACGCGCAACGTCTCCTCTCTCTTGCCGTGAAAATGCCAGAAAAGCAATTCTTCCTGCAACATAGAAGAGAATGGAAGTATAACTTTAATAGCCCTTAAAGCCAGCATTTAAAAGCTTTATAGCCTCGCTCCTGTCGGTTTTCTGATGGTGCCTGATGACTGGCACGAGGTAATCGCATACAGGTGGGACGGAATGAAAGAGTCGGTCCACGCGGCACTCTTAAGCTCACGTTTAAAATAAAAGCCAGACTGCCCGAATTCCTTCTGCGTTTTTGACTGTGTTCATTCCAAGGTGGATCCTTGAGAAGGTTTGAAAGGTTCACATTCAGAGCGGGAGCATCAGTCTTAGTCAGGCTTGGTCCAACATGCTAGCAAAGCTGATGGTTGTCTAATTTGCGCAATAAGCTTTTGTGTTCGCTTTGGCTTCTGCCTACCTTACTGACGGGTTATAAAAGCTGACGTGTCATGTATCTTTGCAGTTTTTCTCCGAGTAATAAAATGTCTGGGTCATATCAATGGCATTGGAAGCATCATCGAGCACCTGGATGGAATTTTGGTTGAAGATAAGGAACCAAAAATATACGCGTGGAAACTCGTAACGTTCCATTTTCAGGGAATCGTACATCATTTCTTATCAAAGTGAAGGTTGACAGTTTGTTGGTTTTCTATTTCCATTATTTCCTAAGAGGAGAAACCGTTTGGGATTACAACGAGTCAGAGTTCGAGCCGAGTGTTCAAATGAATCACGTTCTTCCTTGGAGGTTCCATTGAATTTTTAATGACAAAAGATGAAATGTATGAAAAACAAGGCCACCAAACGACTATTAAAGGACGTGAGGGGAGTCGTATGCGTGCAACTTTTTCTCTTCCGAGTCTTCGCACTCAACTCCCATTGCATCTCATATAAACCCGTGCAAATGGTGGGAAAGCCAAAGGAAAATCCCCGTGGGGGCCTTCAACGTTCTTTGAAGCGGCGCGCCACGCAGCTGCCTGCTGTTCATCTCACTCCTACCAACAACTTTAGATGAGATATCGGAACTTCACACTCAAAAGCCATTAAACACAAACTACTGCCGCTCGGTTGAGCGAGGGCTGTGTTTCTTTGGCGTTGCCAAATATTGTGAAGGGTACCAAATAACGCATTTGTATGGTCTTAGAACGGATTAGGGCATTTACATGGAAAATGCGTCTCTACTTACAAAATTTTCTAGTTAAGAAACTAGTTAAGAAAAAGACTCTTTTGCAGGACGGAGGCAAGGCACACAACAAATATTCAAGGTGGGCACCATCCAAGACAATTTTGGGGGGGGGGGGGGGGGTGGGTTTGTGCGGCTTTCAGGTACGCAAAGCAAGTTTTAGAGTACTGAAATCATCCTCAAAAATTCATTTCCCAGATGTGCAAGTGCCAAAGCAGAGACGCTTTGACAGACAGAAGCTTGAGCACGACCTGATCCGTCGGTTCAAATGGGCTTTAACTGCTGTACGGAAACCCAGAGTCGGTGCCGCCCTCAGGGCTTCCATGTGGGATGGATGGCTAAATGCTCATCTGTCATCAAAACTCAAA